GGATTTTTTTAAAAAACATTTTCGATGATTTGTTTTGTTAGACTAAATCCAAAGAAATCATAATCTCCTACAGAGCTTTTGCTATCCTATCTATTATATCCCCCCCCCAAAAAAAAACTTTATTATATTGAGATTGATAAGAAACATTGTTGCCGTAGTTTTATGCTAGTCTGGTAGCGTTACACATACTAGACTTTCTTCAACTCAATCAGTAGAACTGAACATCGAAATAAACTCTTTAAAATATGCAGAATATCAATCCTCACTTAACGATGTATCTGTTTAGTTCCTCGTTAGACTTATGGACAGTTAGAAAATATGATATAAAAAATTATCCAAGCCGTCTGTATTGCCTGTTCTACATGAAATTTGATAATGTCTGTTATCTCTTTCTTAAAATTGTATCAAAATATATTTATTGAATATTTTGAATAAACAACGTGAAAACATGCATAAACAATTGTGTACTGTGTTTAGCGTAACAATATACGGATATAGATTTTTCCATTTGTGTATTGTTCAGTAACTCAATCAATTATGTGCCATGGGTGATACACGCTTTTGGCGATTATGAATCTTTCGAAACATGAAATAGATTTTTTTCCCGCAGTAGGTTGCCATTTCTTTCTGCGGTAGACCAGTTGCAATACAAGGCTATAGAACTCGGTCTGTACTGCTATTTACCTATAACTGGGGGGGGAGAAGAAGAGGATTCATATCTTTCCTAAGGGTATTAGCACTTAAGTGAATGTAATCTCCGATTCATCAATCCGAACCGCTATCCATTACTCCACCATGCATCCTGACTGTTAAGTAACTACTTTAATAAATTCGAAATATGACACAAGCTGCAAAAGACCACAGCCTATAGAAGCGCCAGTTCCCGTAGGATCATCGAAGTTAAACAACGTCAAACCTGGCTACTACCTAGATGAGTGACTCCACATCTTCCTGTCCCTTTTGCTATTGGTATGTTTTGTCTTTTTGCTATTTCTTCCAAACACTGTTCTACTATCCATTTACTCATGGACATCAAGTATGGAACACGTTGTTTTCCGTCTCTACTTCTTTTAATCTATCCTGTGTGTATCACATTTTCCAAGCCGTCCTTTCTCATTATGTGCCACAGAAAGTTCAACTGCTTTTTCCTGATGTTAAGTAGACACATACTTTTTGTTCCATTGTCTCTAAAAATTCGTCGTTGTTCATATGTTCGATCTAGCATTTTTTTGTAGAACCATCTTTCAGTAGTTTGGAAAATCAGTTTTTTCTTTTTCCTTTTCCCGAAATCTAACGCTCATTTGTAAGAAATATGAAACTAATTCATCCAACCAGTCGACCAGGATAGTACATGTTTTTAACTCTAAAGTACCGATTTGTGGATGGTTATAAAATTTCGATGTCTCTGGATTTTACAAATATACAAATGCACTGTAGTTCCATTAATTCGTCTGATAATTTATAAAAGAAAAACGAGACACAATTTTAAAAATAGTTTTTAGTTCTTTTTTTTTACACCACAAATATTACTAGATTTTATAGTCAGTTGTTTATCAATACCGAAAAAATTATTAATACATACCATCAGAAAGACATAATGTTTTTTTTTTGGTTTTTTTCATGTTTGAAGCACATTAGTATCTGAGTTGTTTTTAATAAGAGGTAATAATAGCTTTATTGCCTGTTTTGTTGATGGTTGAAATTAGGTACCTAGTTCCAACAGTTGTCCAAAGACTATACCTATGCGAAGATAAGCCATTTCGATGCCGGATACATTCATCATTCATTGACCTACTCTTTAAAATTTACAAAAGCATTCATTAAAATCTTTTCGTGTCCACCGTTAGCACTCTTTGTCATTTTGTCGGGGGTTTCCTCGCCAACATATTGTGGAACGTAGTAGGGAAAATTTATCAAGGCTTGCATCGTTGCATTGTTCTGGAATGAGGTTTATCTTTTAATCATTTTATCCTGATTGAGATTTATCCTATTCTACAATTGAAAAACATTTGATGTTTCATGTCAGTTTTTAGTTCTATTTGTTTGGTTAGGTAGCTGAGTGAATCTTTCCTTACAAGTTGAAAATATAGCGCTCTATTTATTTGATAAAAGTTATAAATTCTAAGTTTTATTCCTAGTCGATGATAGATGTTTGTACAGGAAGTGAATAACACAATCTTCGGCTTATCATTATAACGAACTACAAAGAAAAACTGTTTCAAAAAATAAGAAAATGGCGATTAATTACTGATGTACATAAATCGGACAGCACTCACGGAGAAATTAACACTCACAAGGCACGTTAGGGCAAGACAAGAAAATAAAGGCAGCAGTAAGAGACATGATATGGATGAATAATTAACACAATTGTGAAGATAGCAAGAATCAATAGGAGCAAAGAAGTACAGAAAAATAAGACATGGCAATCCAAAACATTTTTTAAGCATTACGCCCCGAGCAAGGCGTGAATCCACTAGGATGCAGGGGGTTGCAGAAGATTTGGAGCGAGAGCAGATAGGAGTGATAGAAGAAAGGATGAGGGTAGGGATAGTGGATAGATCAAGGTAACTGGAGATGTCGATTGACATTACATTTGAATAGTTGGAGATTATAGCTCTCAGGGAAACAGTAATTGGGAAGGGTGTTCCACATGCGAGAGGTGCGAGACATGAAGCTATTGGAGTAGAAGAGACGGCTACATTTAAAAGTTTCTACAGTATAAGGGTGAGAGCGGGATGCCAGCCTCGTAGGGCGCTTGAATTCATGGAGTCTGGGAACCAGTGAAAGCAGCTCAGCGGAGCAATTACCATGAAAGTATTTGTACAAAAAGACAGAGAGAAGCGACGGCGCATCTGTGAGAGAGTGACTGTAGACGAGATGCCAGATCAGGGCCAATTATATTACATATCCGCCTCTGGATCTTATCAAGAACTCCGAGGTAAACAGAAGGTGCCCCAGACCATATATGGCAGCAATACTCCATGCAAGGACGAATGGTTGATTTGTATATTTGAAGTATCGATTCCGAGGAGAAAAATTTCCTGGCGCGGCACAGAGAGCCAACTTTTCTCGCGGTGGAAGAAGCAATTGACTCAATGTATATCAGGTCAGCAGTCAACGTGAGACTGAGCAGACGCAGAGAGTTGCCCTCAAGAAGTTGACTATCAGACATTCTAATGGTTGGCAGGGAAGGATCTCTATGGTGATTAATAGAGAGTAGTTTAGTTTTTGAGGCGTTAAAGTTGACCAGCCAATTCATGCCCCAATTAACAACCGATTGAAGGTCCGTTTCAAGGCGCACGGCCAGGTTAGTTTTGTCACCGACAATAGATTTGTTTTTGAAGCAGGAGTAAATTGTAGTGTCGTCCGCGTAGATGCCAACTTGGGAATCAATGGCGTCAGGAAGGTCGTTGATGAAAATAAGAAAAAGAGTGGGGCCAAGGATGGAGCCTTGGAGAACACCTGCGTTCGTGGGATAGGAACTGGAGGAGAATCCGTTGAGAACGACGTTCAATTCACGGTGTGACAGGAATGATTGTATTAAGTCAAACAATCGACCTGTAATACCATAACACTGGAGCTTAGAGAGTTAAGCTTAATGATTAAATGTCCAGAAGAATGCATTGTTCGTTGAATTCAGAGAAATTTCAGTTTTTCTAGTTTCTAACGTTAGAACAAAGTGATCATTTTAGTGAACAGCGCTCATCTTGTCATCGAAAATGATATTGGAAAGATTTCAGATATAATTTCTAAGACGTTGATAATGTGAATATAACAGAAGTATCTGGGACTAATTTAAATATCTTATTATCTTTAACTGTTTCATCGTCCTCTTGGTGGGGGGGGCAGGAATAAATCAACTGCATTTACACGCAAAAAAAATCACACCAACCTGATTAATCCGACCATTTGTCTCTCATTCAAACTAAACTAATCTACTTTTTTCACACACGAAAACTTCAACCGTTTTTCTATCATTTTGCCTATCGCGCAAACTAAACTATATATATCATTTTTATTCTCGTGGAAACAAACCGATGTTTTTTTTTAATTTTTTTCTCTTTTGATAGGCGTACATATCAAATATGTTTATGGGCTTACAAACCAAATCTATATCTACCTATTTTATTTTTGTTCAAACCCTGGCCAAACTTTTTGATTGCCGTGCAAAGCAAATAGGTTATTCCTTTTTTAACTTGCTCGCAAACCATCTACATGTATATTTGACTCTCTATATAGATCAATTATATATATTTATTTGTTATTCTCGTGCAAACCAAGCCGTTTCCTGCATTTTGATTTCCCTGCAAACAAGCCAATGCTTACGTTTTTCTCTCTTGTTCAAACCAAAACTTAATCTATCAATTTGGATATTGGGTAAAGTAGACCTATCTATATATTATTAATTAAAAGAACAGAAAATATTGATGTGCTTGGAAACATAAAAAGAATATCCCGTTTTGTTATATGCTAAAAAAACGGTTGATGGTCTAATAAATTTATAATCAGTAATAATTCTAAAAAGAAAATCTTTGCATTTTCACCAACTGTTTTTTTTCACAAGATATTAATTCAGCTTTTATTCTTATATATCCTTACAGAGATAAATCATTAAATGTATTCCCTAAATTGAGCTTCATGTTCAGGCTTTAGGTACTCATTAAAGATTGTATTGATATACAATACCAGTTTGCTAACCAATTTTGTATGATGTCGTTCACTAGGTATTTAACACGATCTCTTTAGACTGGCGCAAGACCTCAAAAGTGAAACATCAAGTGACTTACTCATTCAATTAAGTTAGCAAGATCATTGGGCTAACCATTGCTCCACAACGAAGTACACAAAATCAAATTCTATTATCCCTCTTACCTGCTCTGTCGACAGCTGCTGATGAATTCTCTTACAATATAGTTTTTCAACCAACAATGAAATGTTAATCATTGGCAACATTCTTATTCGGCAGTTGTGTTTTGTGTCATGTGTGAACGATGATATCCCTAAGGAATTCTTGCAGATAGAGACAGAAGACGATAAAGCACAAGCCATTTGACAGAGTGACAAATGTCGTCTCTTTTAGTAATGACACGTAAAGGGAAATGATGGCAAAGAATGGTGTTGATTCTTGGCATCGGTCGGTTATTACTGTGGGCTAAATAGGCGGGAAAAAAACGAAATGCAGAAACAGAGATCGAAGAAACACAGTTGCTGAAAGAAAGAAAGAAAGAAAGATTATAGTAAAGGTAGAAGTCTAGAAGAAAACGATAAAGAAAAATTGAAAGAGGACAGAAACAAAATTAAAGTAAGAGAAGGCCACGAAAAAGCAGGTAGAGAAATAACAGTGGGTAGAGAAAGAAAGAAAGAAAGAAAGAAAGAAGAAAGAAAGAAGAAAGAAAGTTTATAGTAAACGTGGAAGGCTAGAAGAAAAAAAAAAAAAAAAAATTGAAAGAGGACAGAAACAAAATTAAAGTAAGAGAAGGCCACGAAAAAGCAGGTAGAGAAATAACAGTGGGTAGAGAAAGAAAGAAAGAAAGAAAGAAGAAAGAAAGTTTATAGTAAACGTGGAAGGCTAGAAGAAAACAAAAAAAGAAAGAGTGAAAGAGGACAGAAACAAAATTAAAGTAAGAGAAGGCCACGAAAAAGCAAGTAGAGAAATAACAGTGGGTAGAGAACGAAAGACAGAAAGAAGAAAGAAAGAAAGAAAGAAGAAAGAAAGAAGAAAAGTATGTTTATAGTAAACGTGGAAGGCTAGAAGAAAACAAAACAAGAAAGAGTTAAAGAGGACAGAAACAAAATTAAAGTAAGAGAAGGCCACGAAAAAAGCAGGTAGAGAAATAACAGTGGGTAAAGAAAGAAAAGAAAGAAAGAAAGAAAAGAAAGAAAGAAGAAAGAAAGAATAAATAAAAGTTTATAGTAAACGTGGAAGGCTAGAAGAAAAAAAAAAAAGAAAAGTGAAAAGGACAGAAACAAAATTAAATAAGAGTAAACGAAAAAGCTAGAAGAAATACAAAAAAGAAAGAAAGAAAGAAAAGAAAGAAGAAAGAAAGAAAAATTAAAGTTTATAGTAAACGTGGAAGGCTAGAAAAAACAAAAAAGAAAAGGAAAGAGGACAGAAACAAAATTAAAGTAAAGAGAAGGGTACGAAAAAGCAGGTAGAGAAATAACAGTGGGTAGAGAAAGAAAGAAAGAAAGAAAGAAAGAAGAAAGAAAGTTTATAGTAAACGTGGAAGGCTAGAAGAAAACAAAAAAAGAAAGAGTGAAAGAGGACAGAAACAAAATTAAAGTAAGAGAATGCCACGAAAAAGCAGGTAGAGAAATAACAGTGGGTAGAGAACGAAAGAAAGAAAGAAGAAAGAAAGAAGAAAGAAAGTTTATAGTAAACGTGGAAGGCTAGAAGAAAACAAAAAAAGAAAGAGTGAAAGAGGACAGAAACAAAATTAAAGTAAGAGAAGGCCACGAAAAAGCAGGTAGAGAAATAACAGTGGGTAGAGAACGAAAGACAGAAAGAAGAAAGAAGAAAGAAAGAAGAAAGAAGAAAGAAAGAAGAAAGTATGTTTATAGTAAACGTGGAAGGCTAGAAGAAAACAAAACAAGAAAGAGTGAAAGAGGACAGAAACAAAATTAAAGTAAGAGAAGGCCACGAAAAAGCAGGTAGAGAAATAACAGTGGGTAGAGAAAGAAAGAAAGAAAGAAAGAAGAAAGAAAGAATAAAGAAAGTTTATAGTAAACGTGGAAGGCTAGAAGAAAACAAAAAAAGAAAGAGTGAAAGAGGACAGAAACAAAATTAAAGTAAGAGAAGGCCACGAAAAAGCAGGTAGAGAAATAACAGTGGGTAGAGAAAGAAAGAAAGAAAGAAGAAAGAAAGAAGAAAGAAATTTATAGTAAACGTGGAAGGCTAGAAGAAAACAAAACAAGAAAGAGTGAAAGAGGACAGAAACAAAATTAAAGTAAGAGAAGGCCACGATAAAGCAGGTAGAGAAATAACAGTGGAAAGCAAGACAAAAAAGACAAAAAATAAATAATGAAAGAAAACAGGAATGTAAGACAGACACAAATAACGAAAGAAAAAAAACAGAAATAAATAATGAATGAAACAAAAAAGAAACAAATAACAAAAGCGACATGTAAAGAAAGAAATTAAGAAGAAAATAAATAAGGAAAATAAAGAAAGAAAAAAGATAGAAAGCTTTGACTCCGTTATTATGTTGAGTCATAAATAATTTTCGTTCTTGTTCATCAATTTTAATCTTTAAAAAATAGCTTCACCTTTATTTACAATAAAATCTTTCATTCATCTGACAGTTCTATTTTTAAGACTGAGAAAAAAAAATCCGCAGTTTTTGATGCGAAAAAGATTTTCTAGGAATACTTCAATTTAGTTTTCTCAAACAGAGGGTTATGCAATGATGGAAAAAGTTAATAATCATTTGGTGCAAGACCTGGTGAATATCTTGGATTGGATAAACGAGTTCCAACACTTTCACTGTTATTCTAGTTCGGCAATCATGGAGAAGAAAGATATATGTTATTTTGATAAAGTCAGCTGGCATTTCAATCCAACATTCATGGCCATATTGCAGCGGCCCGACATATCAATGTGTGTGCTGCGTTTCAATGAGTGTTAAGAAAACTAATTGAATAATATTCTACCACACGCACAAAATTAGCTTTATTCAATGTAGCTCAGTTTTTGCCGGCTGTTGTGGAGATTTATCACTCTGAATTCCCTGGCATTTGTGTTGAACATTTTAATATATAATCTATTGTCTAACGCTTTGCCCTTTGTTAAAACACTTCCCAGATATCTAAAGTGTTGTGCGTGTCTGATTTTGGTTTCTCCTATTTGTAATATTTATGCTGGACTGTTTCTTTTTCTGTCACGCATGCATTCTGTCTTCGTGCAATTGATGTTTAGTCCATTCCTCTTGCTTTTGCCTTCTATAGGGGTATTTGTATGGTGTAAATATTAGAATTCAACAGGGTACTCTTATAATAATTTCTTTGCTTTCTAACTATCTGTCTATATTTCTGAGATGAGGTATTATGTACCCTATTTACATTATTCGAACTAATTTCCTCATCTTTGTCGCCATATTTATTAAAACGTTTCTGCCATTGTACACCCAAGCCTTCTTCGGGTGGTTGGAATGTCGAAATGAACCCTTTATTTCGCTCGCTGGGGTAGTTCCAAGTGATATGTCTAAAAGATGTCATCAGTTATCTCCTGTAAAATCTCCTCTCCAAGTTCTCTTTTAGTAATGGCACGGAAAGGGAAATGATGGCAAAGAATGGTGTTGATTCCTGGCATCGGGCGGTTATTACAACTCAAACGCTTTGGGTCCTGTCACTGGATCTAGCTAACGCACATGGCACAGTGGATAAAGACGTTAGTTAGATCCAATGACAGGACCCAAAGAGTGTGAGATCAATACCTTGTGAAGGCGGTGTAAAACATGAAGAAGGGAATTAACAGAAGATAAGTGACATCCTTTAGACATGGCACGTGGAACTAGAATAGTCTACCCAATGAGCGAAATAAAGGGTTCAGTTCGACATTCCAACCACCTGAAGAAGGCCGGAGCGTACAACGACCGAAACGTTGTAATAAATATGGAGACAAAGATAAAGGCAATAGTCTGAATAATGTAAATTGCGTTATAATTACTTTAATTTAATTTTATCTGAGACGGCTGTAAGCGTACAGTACTTAATGTTGAGTTCCTTGAAGAAAGTATCGATCGATTGGGTAGACTGCTGACGCCTGAGAGCATGAAGATGTCTAGAGATAATTTCGTTTTTTTTTTCTTGATATATAATCTATCCAGGGTTCCCAGGGCCTCCTCGAAGTTAGTCGCTTCGAAACAGAATTCAGAAACATTCGCAGATACGAATTTCGTTAAGTAATGCAGTTTATTGCAAGTCGCGACGTGGAAGTCCTCGAGAAATTTGATAAAGATTCTTCGATAGTGGCAATATTCCCCCTCAGCTTCTGGCAAATTGGTATCAGTGGTTAGTTTCTCCTGATACAGACCGCGTTCCACTGAACTAGCGCGTTTATCAGAATAAACTGTAACGAATAGACAACTTTAGAAGCTTTATTCTGCTAAACTCATCTTTAGTAGTTAAATAGCCTGGTTTGTATTAATATGGGATAGTTCATTGGTATCACAGTATGTTCAGTCATATCTTAAAAAACAAGATTTTTTATGGATTCTTGTCTTGCACCTTCCTGTTAACGTATACGAAAAAGTATATTCAGACTATCTTTATTAGAATCATTAAGATGTAACAACGAGTATTATGTACAAATTTAGGCTTTCTGTGTTGCGATAATATTTGTAAAAACATAAAAGGTTTGTTTTTAGAATGACGACGGCGAAATTGTGACATCCAAACGTATCTTATCTCTCTTCTTTACAATCCCTCGACATTGTTTTACGATTTTCTGACTTAACACACAAAATATAACTACAGATATGACAAAACATTAATGATTTTTTTTAAAGTACTAGATTTCCAGATGATACCTTAGAGAATTTAAGGATGTTTCATGATTTATTGTTGCGCATTGAAAATAATAATGTCGGATATAACTACGCAATGTCAGAGCATAGATATCTTCTTTTCCATATATGAAGTATTTTAGGAAATGGACGGTCATGACTCACCACAATTTCCTATCTTTTTTATTTAATATTTTTTATCCTTTGTATGCAGTCATCCATTGACAAAACCTTATTACGTAATGGTTAGTTGCATTCACACAGACTTATTATGTAATGGTTACTTTTATTCACACAAACACATTACATAATGGTTGCTTAGATTCAGACAAAATTATTACGTAATGATTACTTATCTTTTCCTGCCTTCTTTATGTCTTGTATTCATTAAATTATCTACGATCCTAATACCATGTTGTTAAAGACGGAAATAATGCCAACAAAATAATACGCACGGATAAGACTGCATTGATGGCTGATCCATGAAAGTAACTTAAACATTATATGGGTCGAATCAAAATCGATAGAATAGCAAGAATTTTTCTGATATTTTTAAACGGTTTGGACATCATGCAAAACATCCATATGGATGCATAGACTAAACAGGTCTAAGTACAAAATCAAGGTTTTCTGTGTCGTGGTATACTCCACCCTAATCGTCGGGACATCTAACTTTTGTAGTGATTCCAGCAAATTAACCTCCGAAGAATCTTTTTGGCTGACCTCCTCATCAGCAACGGGTTCTCTCGCCGACATCTCTTTCAAACATCAAGGATACCATCCATTAATATCGCCGCCAATAGGCGGGTTACTTGTCCAGGATACGTCCCCCTCGACTCCCACGTATCATCTTGTTTGGAGAACTCGCCAGCGGCAAGAGGCTACGCGGATACCCAAAACAGCTCTTCTGATACAAGCCAGCATTGACCCTGAGGGGTGGGAAATGTTTTTTGCAAATCAGCCTTCCTGGCATTGGTCCATTCAGGGGTGGGGGGACTAGATTTTAACCGTTAACATGAAGGATATCTGCAACGTGCTGTCAGCCGCATCCTTCACCTACACACCTCTGTGACTCCTGCTTCTGACTTCTCAGGTGTAGGTTGGTAAAATGAGTAGAAAGAGAATAGGGAGAGTGGTTGACGATCCCAATGCTCGGACACCAGCGGGTGCTGACTCTATAATTAAGTACATGACACGAGTTTTGTATTAATGTTTTCAATTTCCTTATCTCCTACAAGATGGTTGATAACTGATTTATACATGGAATTATTTGAAGTGTTTCTCCTTTATTAATTACAGATTCTGGATTCTTTCTAATAGATTCATAATATTTTGTGATATTCAGGAATTCATTCATCTTCCTGCATTTTCATGTCTCGATCTGATAGAGTTCTGACCATAAAAGAGCAATTCCTGATCCAGTATCTTAATGAAAGACAGAGTTCTATAACCCAACATCTGTTTTAAGAGTATTCTGGAATCTGTTTTTTAGAAAGCTAATTTTAAGTTAAGATACGTGACTCAATAAGCTGATTCTCGTATGGAGTTCACATTAACTTTCATCTGAATTCGTTTCTCTCCTTATACAAAGAGAATCACTTAATGTTTCTGTATTTCCCGCTGTCATATATTTAATTTCCTCATTCAGTAATTTAATTTATCCCAAAGGAGTTTAAGATATTATCCCTACTATAATACTATATTGTCCTGTTGCTTTTTGTTTATTTTGGTCAGTATCGTCCATAACTCAGATTTAATACATACGGTGCTTCCATATTTTTATATATTGCAGATTTCATTTCTCTTTTGTCATGGAAGTAATCTAATACGAATTTTTCTTTATTTTAGTAGTTTTCCTTTTATATCCATGTTAAAATATATAGCGTTGATGTTGCACAAATGATGCAGTCTTCAACAAGATCATGGAGTTTGAAACTCGAATGTGCTGATATATTATTATTATTGTTGTTGTTGTTGTTTGTGTGTTATGTTTCCTACTCTTGTATCCTGAAGAGCCGGGTCCAAACTATGCTCTTTAGGCCCTATATCAGATTTGTCATTTAACTGATAGCATTTTTCTTAGTATATGGGATCTTCATAGCAGGGCGATTTTCTGTTGATGTTACCTGGGAAACTGCCATTAAATTTGTACATTGTTTTTCTTAAGAGGCCCAGATTACTATTGGTACAGTCTAAGTTTTCATTCTCTAAAACCTTTTAATCTGGATCTCAAAGTCCATGTATTTAGACAATTTCTCGATAATTTTTATGGATGTGTTTCTCTCAGGTGGTGCTGATATGTTAATAAGCATGAACTTCCTGAATTACTTGTCTGATAATATCAGGTCTGTTGGCTTTTATTTCCATGTTAGTTTACAATGGAATGTCTCAGAGGATAGTTAAATTGATATTTTGGGTAATTGTTTCTGGCTGGTAGTTGTACAATCTCTCAGTGGTTTCGATTTTGTGCTTCTTGCATATCTGGAAATTTGTCGCTACCATATTATGTCTCAGAAAAAATAGAGATATAAATATACCAAACATCAGTCTCGGAGTAGCATAATTTCAAAATAATAACTCCTTTAAACTCTAGTAGTTAATATTCTGTAAATGACGCCAGCAAAGAATAATAATGTTTCGACTGCACGATCTAATAGACATCTAGTAATTGTGTTTCTCTTTTACATAT